GAAAGGCTCAGGAACGGATCATTGCAATCCAAAAGCATGTGTTTGTTTACAGAAGATCATATAATGCTGGGGCAGCAGGGAGGCCCAGGGAGGGCTTTTTCTGAGGAGGGCTTGGAGCATAAGCTGGAGTACTACAGGAAGAGACCAGGGAAAGACATTCCAGAAAGAGGGAACAGCATCTTTAAGGTGTGGAGGAGAGGACACTGGTTTCAAAAGTGGTCTGAAGTTGTAGTGATGGTAGCTGGGAATGGGGATCCCTTTACTGACCATTTGTGTGCCGCCCACCTCCTTATTTGAGGAAACTGCTCCTCCCACTCAATCATGATTCTAATACCTCATCCCTGACCACCTAAGATGGATTATGTACCCAAGAGAGACCAACCAGATTCATTCCCCAGAATCTTTCTATGGGAATTGGAAGGGCAGCTCCTTTGTCCCCTGTCTGATTGAGAGCTGTTAGGAGCCCGAGCAGTTGGGAACTGAAAGAGTTGGTTGGGAAGAACAGACTAGCATGCAGGGCGCAACAGAGAATGTCCTGATGGGGTCAGAGCCTGTGATCCAGGTCTTCCTGGAGCTCAGGTCCATCCCAGCTTGGTCAGGTAGAGCAGCAAACTGGATCCCAGAGTGCTGCTGGGAGAGTTGATGGGGAGTTGGGGCCAAAGAGGCAGCAGATCCTGAGGGGTCAGGCAGGAAGGCATCGAAGAAGGGCCTTAATGAGGGGAAACAGGGTAAGATTTGAGTTTCTGGGAGATCACTCTGGGTTGGCAGGCAAGACTCGCTGGGAAGGGAGTGGCAGGGGGCGGGGCTGGCAGCAGAGGAGCTGGTGAGAAGGCTGATCTCACCTCCAGCCCCGACATCAGAGGGCAGGAGAGGGTGTGGACATGGAAGTCAGACCCTGTGGGCTCTGTAAGGGCCAACTCTAGGCCACATTGGACCTTGGGCAAATCTTGTGGCTCTGTTTTGTGCCAGACGTGAAAAGGTAGGACTGGGGAGAGACATCAGATGTACTATGGTCATTTAAGCAGCCTGGAGCTGGGGCAGAGATCCAGGTCCTAATTCCCACTCTAGAAGGTCTGAGATAGCTCCCTGTCCATAGAAACGCATGCCACCCCACCCCCTTCCAACCTCAGTCAGCCTCCTGCAGCACCTCCTGTTCATCTTCCATGAACTAGCCTTGCAGCAGGGGAGGGCAGGCAGGGTGTCTTCCAGGAACTAGGGTGGGGGGAAGGGGGAGTGGGTGGGCCTGCCCTGCAGAGAGATGCCATTGTGCCTGGTGGGGCCCCAGGCCTTCCCTTACCCCCAGGACAGCCCCAAACCACAGGCCACGTCCTGTTTTCAGAAATACTGACATTTCCCAGAGCCCAGGGTTCGTGGAGGGACAGGGGGAGGTGGCTTCAGAGCTACTGGAGGAGGAAGAAGCCTCCCCAGGAAACCCGGAGGGCAGGCTTGGCATCATAATAGGAAAATCAGGTGATTTGGGTGCCAGGAAGCTACCTGGGAAGGTGGAGGCTCTGAGCCTAGGTTGGTTGCACCTGCCCCAGCTCAGGACCTGGCCCCTTCAGTGTTCTAGGACCCATCGGGGTATAGAATCGCAGACCTTAGCTGGAATCCAACCCCTCCAATTACCAGTATGTGATCTTGATTAGGTCACTTCCTCTCCCCGTGCCTCAGTTTCCTCATTTCTTAATGTGGTTGCCAATCCCCACCTCACACCTCACATGTTATCCTAGGGATCAGATGAGACAACAGACTTGAATGTGCCTTGTTAACTAATGGCCAGCTTGTGGGAGGGGATGCCACTATTTCTTCCAGAGCCCAGCCTGTGCCTCCTGGTCACCAAGTAGGACTCCCTGCTGGAGTCTTGGGGAGCCCTGGGAGTGGAAAAGCTGGGCAGCCCTGGGAGATCACCCCTTCCTTCTCCCTCATCACGCTCATGGGGAGACCAGCAGGGTTAGACAGTGAGTTAGTGGCTGAAGAAAATGGATTTTAACTTGTCCTTAAACCTCCCCTCTTCCATCCTCACTCCTGTTCTTCTACTTTCCCTGTCCTGTGAGGTCTCCTCATCGCCAAGACTTGCTTACATCTCTCCTGTCTGAAAAACCCTCTTCTTCCGTGCATGTCCACTGCCAGCCACTGCCTGCCCTTCCCCTCTCCTTTACCACCAAAGTTCTTCAAAGACTTGTCTGTTTCCTCACCTCCCTGACACCGCCTCAGCCCCCCAAAACCTCCTGCCGCCTCCCCGCTCTCCTGACAGTGCCCATTGCCGCAGGCACCAGAAGCCCCCTGGTCCCTGGGGAGGACCCTTCCCGGGCCCTGTGTTACTGGACTCTCAGCCACCACACCCTCCTGGCTTCTCTTTGCCTCCACCGGGGTTCCTTTGCTGAGGCTCTGGGGTTCACTCTACAGACTCTTTCAGGCCAGTGCCACCCAACTCCTGGCTTCAGTTACCACCTGTAGGCCAACAGCCCCCCCCAGACTCCCTGTCTCTGGCCCAACCTTGTCCCCAGACCCATAGAGCCAGGGGTATCTCCTGAGACTCAGCGTGTGCTCAGTTGAAACTTCTGGGTTCTCTCCGCAGTTAGCACATGAGACACTACGCACTACCCTCCTCGCTTTCCCTCAGCCCTGTGTCCAGTCCGTCATCAGTGCTGCCTTCCCTTCTGGGCCCATCGCCTCACCCCTGCCCCGGCCATTGTCACGCGCCGCCATGCCGTTCTTCACCCAGCAGGCAGAGCCGGCTTGCTAACCCACAGATCTGACCAAAGCACTGAAACCCTTCCAGGGCTCCCGGCTGCCCTCAGGATGGGGCCAGAGCTTCTCAGCTGGGCGTTCAGCCTCACCTCCCTTCGCTCTTTGCTTCAAATTACACTGTCCAGCAAGAGTGAGCTGTGGGTGACCCCCCCTAGAACATGCTCTTTTCCATCTCCCATGTACCATCTCTTCTTGTGCCACCTCTGTCCCCCCTTCACCCCGTCCCTCCGCCTTCTCCTCTAATCCTCCAGAGCCAGCTGAAGTGTCCCCCGTCTGGGCAGGCCTGTGCTCCCCACAGCCCTGCTGTTGCAGGGGAGAAGGGGCAGATTCCAGCCATGTTCCTCAAACCCCAGCCTCTCAAACCAGGCCCCTGGGAGCTGGCGGAGGGAGTTCGTGGCGTTCGTCCCTGCCCGGGGAGGGCGGCACTGATAGGCAGCTTCGCAGACTTCCCAGACCTCAGACACCCGAGTACAGAGACCAAGGCTCAGGGGACAATAGGCAGAGCCCTCTAAGTGGCTGCAGGTGGCAGAACTCCAGCCCTTAGGCCATCTCACGCCGCCCCTCCACAGCTTCCTATCCAGCTTGGGGTGGAGGGCAGTGCTGTGCTGGAGGGGGAGCACGGGCCTGGGAGGCGGTGGGCCTGAGTTCTAGTCCCGACCTCCCTCGCTGTCACTGTGAGGCTTTGGGGAAGACACTGGCCCACCCTGGTCCTCAGTTTCCTCTTCTTTAAAGGCGGGGTAATTCCTACACTGTTCCTCTTAAGTGGAATCGTGAGCATTAAAACATCTTTGAAATTGCAAGTAATCGTACATGTAGGCAGGAGAAATTATTAATGTTGTCTTTAATTATAACTGTTAGGCTCTCTTCCCAGACTGTGGTGCTTATACCATTGGTGACGCAGACTGGGGGAGGAGTGCGAGCCTGGAGCAGGAGACCTGGCACCGGCTCGGCCTTTGCTACTGCCCTGCCCCGGGGCTCCGCGCAAATTACCGCTCCTCCTGAAATTCAGTTTCTTCATCACAGAGCGTGGCTGACAACTCTAAGGATCCCTGGAAGATTCGCTGGGGAAAGTGCCTCGAGGCTCCCTTTCCACCTCCACTGGCTAACTGGAGTCAGTCCCTTTCCTAGGCTCAGAGCCAGTGAGCTCCAGGAGGGGGGGCACCCATAACAGCAGGAGGAACCATAGCTGGGGGCCAGGGATGGAGGCAGTGCAGAGCCAGGAGAGGCCCCAGAGGCAGACAAGGGCCTGGGCAGGGAGGCTGGGGGAACGATGTGCCCCGAGGACAGAGGCCAGCCTCTACCCCTGCCGCATCTCAGTCTCTAACCCCGTAAAATGGACATAACCAGGCCTGCCTTGCAGTCCCTGTGGGAACACACGCAGACCGGACATGAACTCAGCAGGCAGGGTTGAGGGGTAATGCAACTTATCGTTTATTAATATATAACAACAAAAATGATAAAGCTTGTATCTGCAACTGTTTAGGTCTTTGTTATAAGGTTTTGGTTGCTTTGTCTGGACTGGCTGTGACCTTCAGCTCCGGGGTCTGGGCTAGGAAAACATTCCAGTGACCTGGATAGAGGAAAGCAGAAGAGGGGTGTGGGGGTGGGGGTCGGCTGTAGAGTGTGCGCGTGTGCATGCATGTGCCCAAGAGAGGCAGAGTGACTGGGGTGGGAAAAACTTAGGACAAGAAGGGCGGTGAGAGCCTGGGTTTGGAGTCCACAGGAGGAAGGAGATGGGTATTTCCATCACAAAACTCTATCCCCGATCAGTTCTTGGCATGTGACCCCACCTTCAACCAACCAGCATTTGGGGGTGTCACCTCTTGGTGATACACCCATCTGTGACTTCCTCCCCGCCCCCCCCCCCCGCCCCAGCCCCAAGCCCCACCTGGGTCCATCTTCCTCAGTATAGTGCTTAGGAATTTTTCAGTAGGAAATATTCCCATAGAGAGGGGATAGGCAGTGTCAGGGTTTGGGGGCTCAGGCTTCCCTCCTCCACAGCCCTGTCTCCTCCACTCCCAGGACCAAATCCAGATGGTTCTGCTTCACCTTCCCACTCCCAGGCGCCCTGCGTTGAGAAATCTCTGGCCCAGACGCCCACTGGATTCCTGTGCCGGGAACTGCCCGTCTGTGGCTGACAACCACCCCGCCCCCCTCCCAGCACCAGCGGCCAGGAGCTCCCCAAGAGGCCGCTGGCCTCTGGCCCGGCTCTCTTCCCAGGCCCCCCTGTTCGGCCTAACGTCCCACCTTCATGGGTGCCGGTGAGGAGCCGGAAGTTCTGTGCCTCTTTCTGGAAGTCTTGCTTCCTGACTTTCTTGATCTGAATCAAGTGGAAGATTCCTGAGGGCAGAGGCAAGGGCATGAGCAGGAAAAGGTGGGGCCATGCAGTCAGTGGAACGGGTAACTCAGACACAGACGGGACCCAGTCACCCCTCCCCTCCCCTGTTCCGACCAGACACCAAACCCTGTGGACTAGATTTCCTCAGTATTTTGAACCTACCCTCCCACCTCCATAGCCACTCTCCCCATACAGGCCCCATCACATCTTGCCTGGGTCGCTACACTAGACTTCTGACCCCTCATACTCCCCCTGCAGTCTGTGATCCTAACTGCAGTCATTCGAAACCATACCTCAGCGGTCCTTCCCTTTCCCTGACCTCTCATCACCTCTCTGCTCACCCTTCAGCTGTCACCCTCAGCATCCTGCTCTCACACTACTCACCTGTCCACAGTGCGGGGTGTGGGGGAGGGGGGGGCCCATATGGACTGGTCATGCTTTTTTCTGGGCATAGAATGTGTGATAAAAATCAATAGGTGTGCTTATCGGACTCCCAAGAACATCAAGTGTCAGAGTGGTAGGCCCCCTGTCAGCGCGAGGCTCTGTTCACCCAGCCCCTGGGCGGCCTTCCTGTGCTCCAGCCCTAACTGACTACTTCAAAGTCCCCCGAGGGGCCCAAGCCTTTACATAGGGTACCCCTCTGCTGCAACTCCTTCTCCTACTGACTTCTGTTTCTCCTGTTGTCTCCAGAGACTCCTACTCATCCTCCAGGCTTTGGCTGGGAAGTCTTCCTTGATCTCCCCTCCTTGGGGCACCCAGAAGCTCTTAGCTGCTGTTGACGATTATCCCTATTTCCATTGTGCTAACATTGTGTCTGTTCTTGCCTCCCCTGGTTACTTCTGCAGGGCTTTGCCTCTCTGGTTCCCCTGCGCCTGGCCCACATCAGTCATTTAGTATAAGTGAACAAATGAACAAACGAGTGAATGATCCCTCGATGAATGGATGGGTAAGGAAACATATGTGTACCCAATCTAGCCCGGGCCCTAAAGGGAATGAGGCATTAGCTGGATCTCCTGATGTTTGCATCCCATGGGGAGCTGGCCACGGGTACCACACATGGCGCTGAAACCCCGAGCACACGGGCTGTGAAGTTGCACCAGTTGTGACCGCCAGGGTCTGTGGCCAGAAAGAACAGGTGTGACAGCAAGGCCTCTGCTAGCCGGGACAGCTCTCAAGAAAACTAAGAATTGGCCTTGCTTATGGAAATCTGAGTAGGATGCCACTGAGAAGAACGGTCAGCACTGAGATCCAGGAGGCTGGGAAAGTCCAGCATCGTTCTCAGGACCCCCAGTCCAGATGCCAAGGACCAGGATATGGGAGAGACTCGCTCCAAAGGCCCAGGCTACATCACAAGGCTGAGATGGCGATAAGTCCTTCTGCCCAGGCCTGCCACTGCACACACCCCAGAACGCAAATGGAGAGGAGGTGACAGGGATGAGGGAGGGTCTTCACACTGTAGCCTGTAAAGCATGATCGTAAGAACTGAGCTCTAGGACCTGGAATCGAGCCAGCCTGAGGAGCATGGCCATGCCTTTGGAGGGTGTGCCAGGTCTGAGGGCAGCTGGGCTCTGTGAACCCCCAGGGCAGAGACGGTACCAGCAGGTGAGGCTCAGCTCAATGCCAAAACAAACCCTTTCTAGGTGGAGCCATCCACAATGGAGGTGGGGTTGGGGGCATGCGGAGTCAGGGGCTGGAGACCATCTAGGAGACCATCCGGGAGGCCATAAGGGGTTTCCTTCCTAGACAGGGGCTGGAATCAGGACCCCTGAGGTCCCTTCTACTCTGAAACTCCAGAATCGAAAGGGCTCTTAACAATAAGCCAGCTTCTGGGGCCTGAGTCCGGGTGTCAGTGTCTCCAGGCCAGTTCTCCCCTTCCTCTCCCTGCCCCCGAGGCCTGCTGATTCTGCTCCTCTGGGTGAAGAAAGAGGGTTTCCCACTGACAGTCAGACCTCGGGAGTGTTTGCTTTGACCCCCCACAGTGTGGGGCAGGGAGGTGACTGATGAGGCACTTAGGCAGCCCAGCGGGGCAAGAGATGGGGAGGGGGTTTTTGCCAGTGACAGGAAGGTAGAGCCTGGCACCGTGAACTTGAGGAGTCCCCACCACCTGCTCCTTTCCTGCTGGGCCTGGTGGTATTGAGATTGGCCTTGAGCTACAACGCTCCAGTCTGCGCCATCCTGGGCACACCTTGGCCTTCCTCAGGCGCCTCTCTGAAAGCATTAGGTCGCCTCCGTGGAAGCAGCTCTGGGGAGACTCAGACCTGGGTTTGAATCTTTGCTTAAGTGCTTAAACTGTGTGACTTTGAGCAAGTCGTTTTACCTCTCAGACTCAGTCTTATCTGCAAGATGGCGCATTAATGCATATCCCTCAGGTTTCTTCTACGGATGAAATGAAACACTTTAGCAGGGGCCTACTACACACCAATGACAGGGCGGAACACAGGGCATGGAAGCAGAAGCTCCGGGGCCGGTCTGAGGCTGTGGCTGCCACCCTTCCTTGCCTGCAAAGCACTCCTCTTGCCTTCCTCACGCCTGTCCAGCCACAGTCCCCTCCTCCACGAAGCCTTCCAGCCTGACCAGCTCAGCTCCCGGGGAGCTCCTACTGCATCCAAGTCACTAAGTCCTGGGCTCCCACGGACAGAGACTGGGACCTATTACTCTCTGTGGTCCCAGTACCTGGTGCGGTTGCAGGGGAGGTCTGGAGGAAACCAGCACCTGTCCAGGCACAAAACGATGATGAGGGCTGCTGAATCTAACTCCTCGGCTGTGGCAGAGCCCCTGCCCAGTTGCTGCTTGCACACCCCTGTGAACTGAGCTTGCTCCCCGCTTCTTTGACAGAAAGGGTCTAGGTATGAGAAAGTGCTTCCTCTCGTTGGTGGAAACATGCTTCTCTGTAATTCTAACTGAGGAGGTGGGATGAAGATACTAATGTTAGCACCTACTATAGGTCAGGGCTGTACCCATGGTATTTCATTTAATCCTCCCAAAACCCTCCTTCCCAATTAACAGAAGAAAAAATTGAGGCCCAGAGAGGTCAAGTGACTGCCCAAAGCCACACAGCTAAGAAAGAGCAGAGCCGGGATTCAAACTCAGGTCTGTCTGATTCTCAAAGCCCCTGCTTGTCATTCTGACCCTTGTAGTCACTCAGAACACAACCGCTCCCCCTGCCTGGGGCAGTCCTTCAGAGCCAGGAAGCCAATGGTCCTGTCCCCCTCAGTCTTCTCTTCTCCAGGCTGAACAGCTCCGCTTTCTTCGTCCATTCCTCCTAGGACAGGAGGCAGAGTAGAGCAGGGAAAGAGCCGCATCTGACGTCACAAGACATGGGCTCTAGCTCCCGTCCTCCACTTACTGGCTGTGTGGCCTTGGGCCAGGTACTTCACCTCTCTGAGCCTCAGTTTCCTCATCTGTAAAATGGGGATAATAATACCTAACTCTCAGGATCGTTGAGAATCAAATGAGATAATGAGTGTGAAGCACTTTGTAAACTCTAAAGTGCTCCACACGCTGGTTATCATTATCATGACCATTCCCTCTTCCACCCCTGCCCACTCCAGCCAGACCCATCGGGAGAGAACAGTGACCTTACAGCTAATTCACACTTAAAGGGTTTAGTTTGTTTTACTCTGCCCAGGGGATCTATGTTAGGCAAGAAGAGCCAAAAAGCCCAACTCTCAGCAATTCCCTTCTCAATGACAACTCCTCTTGACCTTCAGCTGGTGATCTGAGCCTCCTGTTGCATCTGGTGAGTTTCGCAAAGAATGAGAACTATGTTCTGACGTCCACTTATTGGAGGGGTAGAGTCCACCATACGGAAAAGGCTGAATGAGACTAGCCTCCAGGCCCTCCTGCGTTGAGGATGCCGTGAAGGCCCTTCTGCCTGAGAAGCTCTCCCCTCATAGCGTGCTGACGTTCTACCAGTAGACATGCCTTTTGCCTCAAAATGCCTTTTGCTTCAAAATACGCTTTTGCATAGGCGTTACCCTTCCTGGCTCCTCGCAAGTGCAACAACCCCTTCCTCCCAGGAGAGGGAGCACTTCGAGGCCCTGGCGTCACCCCGTGGATGAGCTTATCAGAACTGTCAGAGAATCACAGACAGAATCTCTGTCTCCCTCTATCTTGGAATTGGAGACTTAAATCTAGAAGGGTAGCCAGAGGCAGGTCTTCCCGGGCTAGAGGCCTCTGATCCACAAAATGCCCCTAAGGCCCCTGGTGAGGGGGACAGGCCAGAGGTAAGCCCGGCTGGGAGTGGGCCAATGCTCACCTTTTACCAGCTTCCAGAGGTAGATCTCCACCTGCTCAGAGGCCTCATGCTCCAGGGCAAAGCGATGTAGGTTGTCTGGGCTTGGAGCTACTGAAGTGTGGACGAGGACCCGGCCTGGCACCTTCGGACACCTGGTGGCCCTGATGTCACTGGGGCCAGGGTCTGCCTTGTCCTCTGGGGAAGACAAGGAGCTCGTGAACATTCTGACCCCCACCCCCACCCCTGCCTGGTAGGCCCAGGGAGCCAGGTCGCTAGTCTGACATCCCCCTCAGGTCTTTAAGGTCCTTGGGAAAGTTCTGGTGCCCTGGTACCAGAGAGAGGGGCCGCCTCTCCCATTCACCTCCCATTGATCAGCATATCAGAAAACTTCTCATCCTTCTGCACCCCACTCCTCTTCCACCTCCTCCAGGCAGCCCACTTGGAACAGTGTAGCTTACCCTGCTTCTTCCCACTCACAGCCTTTAAAACCCTTCTTGCTTATGCCTCCCACTCGTGCCCTTGGTCTCACTACCTTGCATTGCCTTGTAATTGTCTCCCTCGGATATGTTTTTCTCTACAAGCGACCTATGGGTGAACGACAGGCTGTCCTTTGAGTCACCCACACCACCAAGCACAGGCTCTCACGAACACACACAGAATGAAAGGTTTGGGAGGAGAGAGGTGATCATGGCGACAATGAAGATCACGGTTGTGATGGTGGGAGAGGTGGTGGAGGGGATGATGATCCCACTGTAGTAGTGTGCCGGGTTGTGTGGGCGGATGATGGTGATAGTGGTGATGGGTTTTGGTCCCAAATTGGATCCAGTCCTAAAGCCTCAACATGCTGGACTTCCAAGGACAGACATTCTCCAGAATTTTCCATGTACTAACAATTCCCTATTTTTCAGGGACTCGAGGACTAAGTCCCTACACATACACGCTTCCTTCGAAACTCTTGCGGCGCCTGGGTGGCTCAGTTGGTTGGGCGACTGCCTTCGGCTCGGGTCATGATCCTGGAGTCCCAGGATCGAGTCCCGCATCAGGCTCCCTGCTCGGCAGGGAGTCTGCTTCTCCCTCTGACCCTCTTCCCTCTCATGCTCTCTGTCTCTCATTCTCTCTCTCTCAAATAAATAAATAAAATCTTAAAAAAATAAAAAGAAACTCTTACTAGTTACGAAGCCTTTCGAGATGTCCCGCTAAGAGTTGTAAGGCTACAGTCTCAATATTTTTAAGGGAAAGTGGACGGAAGTCTGTGTTTGCGAAGGAGCCTAGTAGTGAGCTACAGCCAGGCTCCCAGAGACTTCAAGTTGAACCCCTACCCCTCATGTGTTTCCGGTACCACCCCATCATGCTCCCTCTCTAACCCTGTCCCAGTAGCATATTACTCCGACCCTATCCCTTAGGTTTGGATTTTGATTTACAATTTATGAAACATTTTCCCTCAACTCTGTCTGAGGCTCGAGAAAGGAAAATTACTTGTCTAAGCTCACAAGAGTAAGTTAGGAAGTCAGTCGGTAAGCGGGCTAAAGTGGATGCACCCTTCCTGACGTTAAAGCCTCGGGTAGGTGGAGACTTAGGATGATTGCAGCCACTCTGTCATTTCATTTGTAAGCTATCTGAGAGGTGAGGAGTACGTGAACTATGTGAAATCACAGTACAATACCTGGCACTAGAAGGTTCTCGATGCATGTTTCCTTCCCCTTTTTCTTCCTTATTCCTCTCCCTTTGGTTTTGCCGACCCAGCCGGCTAGCCAGCTGTGGCGAAGGGACGACCGCAGCCCGTGCCTTCTACCCCACCCGCTCAGCCTTGAGGGAAGGGGCCTGCTCCTCACGACAGCTCCTGCTGACAACCACAGGCTGTTCTTCCCACGAGATACTCTGATGTTTGCTTCTGCACGCTCACTAATCCTAGGCTCACACAACAGTGCTGGAAGAACTCAGCTGGCTATTCTGGAAGCCTCCGTTCTAACTCCCGTTCCCCTGCCACTTTGCTGTGGGACTTGGGAAGATCCCTTCTCTTTTCCTGCAGGTACGTGAGGGTTGAAAGACGACAGCAGTGGTCAAGAGCACTATCTGTGGAGCAAGACAGTCTGGGGTGAAATGGAGAAAAATAGTCCTGCCCTGTCCGTTTGTTGTGAGGAGTCCATGAATTCACGCATGCAAAATAACCTACATGGCACATGGTAAGTGCTCAATAAATATTGGCTCCTCCCCGCCCCGCAAAGTCCTAATATCCTACGATCTTATGATTTCATAGAATCCAGAACATTCTCTGATTGATTCTGTGTATATGTGCGAGAGTCTCTGAATCGGTCACTAGAGCCTTAGATGTTCTCTAAGGCAAATATTTTGTGAGCTGGGCATTTTCCACTCCAGTGCATTGAAAACTCCTGCAGCGTGTGGCTCAGAGTCCACGCCCCATCGGTGTCGTCGGAGATGTTCCAAGTACCTGTGCCCCGGGGACAGGGACCCCGGGCCTACTGCGGCCAGTGCCCTCCCTGCCCCCAGCATCCTCTTTGTACCTGGGCAAATCTTGCAGCACTTCCCGGCCACTTTCTCAGGGCGATGGCACGGGTACTCAGTGGGGCAGGTCACCCGCTGGCAGTCCTGGCGGCCGTCCTGACAGGTGCACAAGATGCAGGGCAGGGGTCCAAAGGAGCGGAAAGCTGGGTGCCACACCTCCCCATGCGAGTATGTCTTCCCACTGTGCACGCAGGCTGGGCCAAGGAGGGTGGGAAGAGAGGAGGGTCAGTGCCGCAGACCTGGGCCGGATCCAGGAATGGGTGGGGCTGGGAACTCGGGGAGCCCCTGCTCCAGCGGTCTGGCCCAGCCACACGGCCTGCAAAGTGGAGGCCGGGTGTAAAACTGGTCCCCTGTCCCTGACTTCTCCCCTGTTTCAGCAGTCAGGGCTGACCCCTGCCCAGTCCGTTCTTGCTGAAGATGGAGAGTCCTCCCCCTGCCCTTCACGGGCACCTCTGGTAGGGGGAGCACTGAGACCCAGTTCTGTCACTACCTGGCGGTGTGAGCTCGGGCAGGTCCCTTCACCTTTCTTAGCCTCAGTGTCCCATCTGTCCCAAAGGGGCCGAGGCAGGTACCTCGGCAGCTGCGCCTGCCGCACCAGTGGGAGTCCTGCCCCGAGCCTGCTCTCCTCCCCTTCCCCTGCGCCTTCCCTGCTGCATCCTGACCACCTGCCCGCAGCCTGGCTCTGCTCCCTCCTCCCTTTGTCCACAACTTTCTCTCACCGCTTCCTCTATTGTAGTGTTTGTTCACAGGTCTGGAGCCCCTAGAGGACAGGGACCATTTTTCATCTCTCTGTTCTGTGCCCCTCGGTTCCCAGCAAAGACATGGCAGAGGCTCAGAAAATATTGTCATGCCGCCCTGTGGTCTTGGTTCTAGGGCTGGTTCTGTCTCACTCGGTACTCTGGACCTCGGTGCCCTTTCAGGACACCTTCAGTTTTGATGTTTTATAAATCTACAAGCTCCTGGCCAAGTTGAGATCAGGGCACTGAGCAGGGGGTGCAGGGATGGGAGGCGGGGGCAGTCGGGGCCCCCTTTTCCCACCTCAGGGATCAGAGGAGTTTCCCATCCCCACCTTTCTTATGTTTCTCCTTCAGGACAATCTTGACTGTCGTGCTGCCTGCCCCCTTCGGTCGGAAGTGGCGAGGGATGAAGCCCAGAGGAGAGCTGAGGCCAGTGGGGGCTGGGGTGCCCAGGCCTCTCTTTCTCCCACTGTCCCCTGAACACGGATCCTGGGAACGTCTCTGCAAATGGCAGGAAGGATGGGGATCACTGATGGGCCAGTACCAGCAGGGGAGCAGCAAGACAGGGGCTGCAGTGAGGCCTGCAGCTAGACACCACCAGGACTTCCCAGTAAAGAGAGTCACATGCCAGGGATGGAAAGATCTGGATGCAGCCTAAGACGTTCTCAGACAGTGGATCTTTGAAAACTCTCAGAACGGTGGTTTGGGAATCCTGCCTCCACCAAGCCCTTCTGAGGCCTGTCAGAGCCAGGGCCTCGGGACTGGAGTGAACAAAGGTACTGAGGTCTTGATCTGGGAGACACAGCGATCAGGGACCCAGGAAACTTCCTATTTAAGAAATGGAAGGTGAGGCTGTGGTGAGGATGAGAGTCGGGAGATTTAGGTGATGGGAGAAGGGGATGGGCCTCCGAAGGTCTCACTAGGCCCCAGAATCTTCACAGGGCAGAAGACTAAGAGCAGGTCCCACCTGGAGACCCTGGGTCTCCAGAGCCCCCTTTCTTGAGCCCCTGGAATCCAAGATCCTGAGACCCTGCCCCTCCAGACCAGGCCTTGGGCATCATAGCTTATAGTTAGAGGACTGGGCAGCTCCAGGCCATGGCAGAGGAACAAGTGGGCTTATTACCCCCCCCTCGCTGATACCGAGTCACTCATATTCCTTCTCCTACAGCCCCTTCCTGCCCAGATAGTCTCTGAGTCAGAGACTGGCCAGACTGACCCCGCAGGAGCTCCCAGGAAACTATCTCAGGCCCCGGCAGAGGCCCAGGTACATAGGAGGCTCCCAGGAAATGCTTGTCAAGTGGAAGAGTGGCAAGACGGAATCGGGGAGCCCAACCCTTTCATGGGACTTGCTTACGTCATCCAGTAAGTAGCTGCTCAGGGCCTGGAACTGAGCCTGGGTGGGCTTCGCTTAGCACACTGCCTCCTAGGGAGAGGATGGAATGGCAGAGGAAAAGGGGGAGCTCGCTAGTTCAGACGCCTGGGGAGTCCCTGAGCACAGGAGGCCAGCCTCCAGTCCCCCGGGGCCCAGGTGACCCAGGCTGAAAGAGGAGGTGGAGTTGTTCCCACTGTAGACAGAGCACAGAGTGGGGATGGGGACTTGAGTCAGTGTGTAAGCCCATCCTCCTACCTCTTTCCTCTCTGACCAGAGAAAGCTGGGCAGTTTAGCTCATCCTAAGTCCAGACTAAGATGGAGAGGGGCCAAGACAGAGGGGAGGACAGAGAGGTAACCCCCAAACAAAGAACCAGTACCTCAGGGGCTGGGTGGGGAAGGCTGGGCCAAGACAGAGGCCATTCCCTCAGGGGAATGTGCTGCCCAGAGGCAGCCTGAACGAAGGACAGACACAGGCTTTGGAGAGAACAGTGTCACAAGTGTTTCTCAGGAGGGAAGTGGGGAAGTTTGGGGCCTGCTCTTGTACGGCATGGTGCTTTCCCCAGGCCGCTGTTGACCCAGCAGCCATGAGGCTAGGGAGAGGGGCTGGAACAGGGTGGAGCTCGCGTTGCTGACCTAGAGGACAAATGAGAAGTGAGGACAGTAACTGGTACTGACTGCCCCAGAGTCCTGGGTTACCAGCTGCCCGCACCACCTCTCTCCACCCTGTCAGTAAAGCTGTGCACTCACCAGCCCAGGCTGTGACTGCGTGGTGTCCTCTTCAGCTGATCTCTCACTTGACCCATCTGGAAACCCAAAGGGAAGTTGGGTCAGCCTCCATCTCCTCAGCCTTGCTGACTGGAGCCCTGCAGGCCTTCAGCCTCCCAGGCCTAGTGTCACTTCTGCAGTCCCTGCACACCAGCAGGTCCCTCTGCCCCAGTGGGGCCTTATTCCCGCTTCCCATTACAAATGTCCTTACCCTTGGGTTGACAAATTCCCTACAACTGGGTTGCTGCCTCAGTTTTCCCACACTGACCTCATGGTCACCGTTAGGAATGAACTTCTTGGCTGGGCCGGAGCATCTTATTCAGTGCCCGTGATGGATGCCCAAGGGCCCAGCATCCCATCCCTGCAGCCTTGCTTAGTTGCAACCCCCTGGGGAGCCACCCTGTCCAGCCACACTTGAGGTCACCAGACCTTCGTCTATACTATCCACTCACAGGCACCTCGGTCCTTCCAGTTGGAAGACCCTAGGACTCTGTCTTCCATCCCGTGGGGTGCCCGCACACAAGGCCCCGAGGGGGATTCTCTCTCTCCAGCCCTCACCTCACATACAGTCTGGCTCCCTCCGAGCATTCTTGGTTCAAAGACCGAGAACACTGGCATCACACAGTCTGAGGCCAGCCTCTCAGTGCACACAAAACACAGCTGAGACCCAAAGAGGGGAAGGAATCTGCAGGAATTAGCCGGAGGAACCAAGACTAAACTGGAGTCACCTGGCCCCTGGTCCAGTGCCCTTCCACAATGCCAACGTCTAGAGAAGGGTTCTACTATGAAGCACTCCCTTCCCCAGTCCTGCCTCCTCCAGGAAGCTTTCCTGAACTTACCCCAGCCCACAGGGTATAGTCTGACCATCTGTGCACTTGATTCTGCTCAAGCCATTTGCCCTTCAACTGGCTGAGGTTCCCCCACCTCTAATAGTCCCTGGCTAGGTCCCTGGGGTGGGGTGAGTGGGCGCTGCCCGATCTAGGGACAGACTCACCTTTGCAGGCCTGGCAGCAGGATGCAGGCAGCGGGAGAGGTGCGGGGCAGCCTGGTTCTGGGCAGGTCATGAGACCACAGTAGATCTGGCCTTCCTGACAGAGCAAGCGGGAGACGAGCTCCGATGAGGAGCAGCCCTGGGATTAGGAGAGCCCCCTGCCCTGGGGGCAAATGGCCTTGAGGTGGGAGAAGAAGGGAGCAGCAGAGACACCCTGGGCAAGGCCCAGCCAGCTCAGAGGAGGGGCCCCCGTGCCCTTCCCACTCCCTCCCCAGGCCCTGAGGCAACATTCATCCTTCAGCTTCTAAAGCGTTTTCAGACCCTGTCCCTCCCTAGGCTCTCACGGCAAACCGGTGAGGTGGGGTTCTTCCATCCTACAGATGAGGAGGACCTGAAGGGGGGCCTGAACTGCCTGAAATCAGAAACGCAGCCCAGCAGAGTGGACTAGAGCCCAGCCTGCAGGCTTTTCTCACTGAAGTCAACGCTCTCCTCCCCTGACCTGGGACAAGGGGGCCCAGAGAGAGGACGGAGATCAGTGGGACACATGTTGGGCTCATCGAGCTCTTACTGAAAACCCTAGGTCCCCAGCTTCAGGACCCAGCCTGGAGAGGCAGCACTGCAGAGGGAAGGGCCTTCTGGAAATCAGAAGCCAGACGACCTCTGGTGAGTCACTTCTCTTCTCTGCACCTCACTTTCCTCCTCTGTGAAATGGGAGCACTGCCATCTGGGTTGTGAAGAGCAGATGAGGGAGCGGTTGCGAAAATCCTTTTTAAACCGGAATGCACGATATACCTGGCAGGCAGTGGTATCACCTGCAGGCCTTTCCCTATGCCTTTTCCCCATGAGGCTCAGAAGTGGGCCAGGAGTCAAGCCAGTCCCATTTAAACAAGGAGGAGGAGAAAGAAGGGGAGACCCCAGTATCCAAGGAGAAGGGACAAGGAATCACAAGAATGTTCTCACCACCCTACCGCCACACCATCATTTCTGTCTCCTCCCACGGACTCCTCCTCATCCGGGCCCTTGTCCCTTCACAGGAAGTAGCGCAACACAGGGAAGAAACATGAATTTTGGAGTCATGTGGTCCTGCCTCTGAATTCTGGCTTGGCCATTTAACTAGCTGTGTGACGTTAGGCAAGTCGCTTAACTGATCTGAGCCTCAGTTTCCTTATTTGAGAAATAAGAACAGTGATTTCCTGCTCTTAGGGCCTTTGAGGAGCTGTATATAAACACGAGACATCTCCGTGAACCAGCAGGTACAATATATTAGACTGCTGGAAGAGACTCAAGCCCTGTAAAAAATAAGTGCTCTCTATGTTGCTTTCTAAGTGGTCACTCTTTATTATTTGTAAGTTGTTCGCTCTGCAGCACAGATACTTGAAGATTCAGAATCTCAGACGGACAGGATCCTCTCGCTGAAAAGAGGGGGACACAGGCCCCAGAGAAGTGACTTGATCAAGGTCACATAGGGAAGCGTGGCTCAAACATGGGTGTCTGGCATCTAATCTAGGCCTCTTACCCCGATGTCACTGCTAACTCAGATTATTATCTTAAACGGGACATTGGAGATCACCTGGTCAGACTCCCTTCCACAATAAGAGGAACGGAGGCCCGGAGAAGTTTGATGAGCAGGTGTGGAGATCAGGAGAGCAGGAGTTTCTCCTGCCAATGCACAGATGAGCTAAGCGCCAGGGTAAGAATGACAGGCTGAAAGCCACCTGTCAGCCTAAAGCCGGGCCTCACTGGAGCCCACTGAGGAGGAGGGTGAAGACTTTCTAGATCAGGCCCTGCTTGGCTTCAGTCTCTGTCCCCTGGTAACACTGCAGGGTCAGTTCTGCCTGTGCCTAGGCCCAACTCGGACCACAGCAGGAGGAGTTTAAGCGACTTCAGATTAAATCCATATGCAACGAGCAGTCTGACCCTGTCTCTGTACCCCAGGACTGATCATTCACTCGTTCACTTATTCATTCAGCAATCATTATATACATCTGTGTGCCAGGCCCTGGGCCGGTAGCAGCAAAAGATACAAAAATGAATTGGGCATGTTCCCTCCATTTGAGGAGTGCAGAGTCTACTGGAGAACACAGAAATGGGCAAATGTGAGTACACAAGGTAAGCATGTTGTAACAGGTGGCTCGGGGGATGAGGAAGGCCAGAGACAGGCAGGACATGCCAAACCCCAGATGTTCCCTTCCCCAGGAGCCCATTCACTCTCACTTTGCTTTGACCAGGAAGAACACTGTCCCCCCATACCACACCGCTGTGCTTTGCAGGCCTGTCTGTGCTGGCCTGGGCTAAAGAGAAGGGGGAAGGCCTTACGGTGCAGCTGCAGAGGACACACTGGTTAGGCAGGCGGGACGGGAGCAGCTCGTGGGCACTGAAGATCTCTCCATGTTGGTACATGGTCCCATTGTGCTGGCAGTACTTTGGGGGGGCCCGGAGCCCAGAGGGGGTGTGAGGTTCTGCACGGGGCAGGGGCGGGAAGAGGAAAAAGAAAATGAAGTTTCACATTGCTCCAAAAGCTTTGTCAAAATTCACTGGGCCACTTTTCTGAAGATTCTGCATCTTATCCTGTCTTGGCATTTAAACCAAGTTCTGGCCTCGGCCTTCCCAGCCAGTCTCCATATTAGCTAATCGAGAGGTCTCGCTGATACCTACATCTGACCATGTCACTCCCTCTCATGGGTCCCCCCCAGGGCCTTTCAGCCCCTCAGTGTCTGAGCTGGCCCTGACAAGAGCAAGAAGGCGAGGCCAGAAGCCTCAGCTCCACTGAGCCCCGTTTGGTGGGGACCTGTGTTAGTTCATTCCCCATTCAGTGAGCATATCCATGAATCCTCGCTAGTGCCAGGCACTGTTCTAGGTGGTGGGGAGACAGCAGTGAACAAAACAAGGTCCCACGCAGAGTTAGATCCTAGTGATGTCAGCTGGAGTGATCTAGACTGTCCCTGTGCTTGGTGTAAGCGCCATCATTCACTGGCCACCGCAGCCCTACTCCTCAGCCCCTGCCAGTTAGCCAGTCCCCATCCTGCCAGGTAGTGGGGTATAAGTCTCCAGTCCTGAGAGAACCCACTTGTCCTCTCAAGACACCTTTACTAAGCACCGTCTCTGTAGCAGGCGACAAGCTAGGCATTGGGAATGGAGTGCCCAGTAAGACCCAGCCCCTCCCACCAAGAAACTCGCAATGTAATTGGGTAGAAGGACACTCTATAAGCAGTAACACTGGTATGGTAAGGGCTAGGGCAGATGGGGGCACAGATAAGGAGCCCTTAACTCAGCCGGGGGTGGGAGCTGGGGGTTGGTCAGGGAAGGCTTCCCGAAGGAGCTGATGGCTGAGCTGAGTCCTGAAGAACATTTGAGCCAGGCGGGCAAAGGGGCAGGGCAGCGGCAGGGAGAAGGAGAGAGGAACATGTAAAGCGGAAGGGGCCAGCGCACAAAGCAAGGGGAGGTAAGGCCTCCCGGAGTGAGCCTCTGCCAAGGAGGAGGCGTGATGCCCCCCTCACCGGGCGGGATGAAGCTCAGAACCTCTGCTCCCCCAGGGGACCCAGAGCCAAGAATATCTATGACCCAGGTCAGAGCCATGGTGAGATCCCTACTGGGGTCCCCCATGGAAAATGAGCCCCTTTACACACATACTCCACACAGGTCCCCAGCTCACCAGGAGAGCCATGGTTGCAGAGCCTGGAGACCACAGTCTGGAGCCCTGTTTTATCACCTTCCTGATGCTTCTAAGCATTGATTCTCCGCTCAACATCTCCCTGCCTCTTAAGTTGGTCTCCCCACTGGCTGCCCCTCGTTGGCCATTTGGTTACATATACACTTGGTTATGCCAATTCCTTCTCAGACCGCCTCTCCTCTCCTCTCTTTTACGTTTACTTCCTAGAATCCCAGTCTCAGAAGCTCTTAGAATCTTAAAATCATGAAATCATAGGCATTTAGCGTCAAGACACAGAGAATGCCTGAACCTCAGCACTGCGAGGAATCTCCGAGTCCATGTGCTTCAACTCCTTTGGTCATTCCCAGCCCCAGGGCCGTGGTCCTGGCCTCTCCCTACAAGGCCTCCCAGCCCCTGCTCACTCATCCACTGACACACGGCATGTCCACTCCCTCTAGCTCCGGCCAGCCAGAGCGGGATTGGGGCCGAAGTGTGCCATCCATGGGTCAACCACACCCCTGTTTCCTTCAGCCACTTTCCACATTTTCTCCCTCCTCCTGCCCAGCCCAGCTACTTAGGAATGAGAAGTTTGCTGCTACCCTAGCCCTCCTGGGGGATCCACGATGTTTCTTCCCCTGAGTACCTTTGCCTCCTCCAAACCTCTGATGGTTAGAGCCTGCCCCCCTCTCATTCCAGGGGCCCCCCTCAGCCAGAAGCCCACACTGGGATGGGGATGAGGGTTAGTGGGCAAGGGGGAGGAAGGAGGCTACTTACCCACACACCGGGGACAGCACTGTTGTGGCTCTGTCACAGGCTGGGGACAGTGGACGGGAGGGCAGTGGAGGCGGTAACAGCTCACATGGGCATTCTGCAGGGGACACGGAGGGGGGGTTCCTGATTCCAAAGAACCATTGCCTCCCACCTGAACCCGTCCTCTCCCCAAGCCCCATCCCAGCTGTGGGACACTACACTCGTTTTAAGCCTGTGGCGGGAGAAAAGCAATCAGCTCAATTTGCCCAGTCCCTCCCCTTCCCCTGCTCGCACACCCCAGCACGGAGGAGGGTGCAGTGTGCACGGGTTTACACAGACCTGTGTCCCCTTCCTGGTGTTTGAGAAATACGAGTAAAAGGCCGGAGTTATTTTGATGTTCATCTTCCCTGTTGTTGTCTTAACTCGGGGATTTCCTTCTTTTCCCTCTGGGCCTGAGCTTCATGGTTAAGAGAGGGCAGGTGACAGGGATGGGGACACAACTAGAAACCTGATGTGGAGAAGACTCAGGGCTTCGTGATCCACTCCCTGAATCTCTGGGAGGTTTGGGTAACCTTACATGAAGCTTTGGAGCTGGCACCCGCAAAGGAGGGGCCCAAAGTTCTTATGCTTTTCCATGTACAGCAAATGGAAGAGAATGGGCAGGGAAACAGAGAGAGAGAGAGAGAGAGAGAGAGAGAAAGGGATGAGCAGAAACAGAGGAGCTGAAGAGAGAGAGGCCACCACCCCTTGGTCTGTCAGCCCGACCTAGGCAACCCACACCTTACTCTCCCCTCCGTGTTGTAATGAACCATTTACATCGGTCTTGTCTTTTCAGCCATGGATTCCCAAGGACAAGGGCCAGGCCTGGTCTGTTCATCTCTGAATCGTCAGCTCAGGGCCTTGCTCCAAGCCAGTGCCTGTTCCAGTCTGGATGAAGGAGTGAGTGAATAAATGAGAGCCAGGAGAGGAGTGCTAGAGGGCCTCTTGGTTAGATGAATGGAGCCAGCTTTCGTCCAACTGGGAAGTTGGCAGGTTTGCTTCCAGCCCCCCTGCCCACTGAGTTTCCCCACAGCACCTCTTGCCCCGTGGAAAACCCTGGACCAGCCCCCAGCCCCTCTGGGGTCACTGCTCCACAAGATGGCCAGCTCGCAAGGACTCATCAGCACTAAGGGGCATCTCAGAGTCCACAGAACTGGGGCCTTCTAGAGGCCTGGCACTCCTGGGTACTTAGAATGTCTAGAGGGTGAACTGAGCCCCTCAGATGAGTAAGTAGGGTGGAGTTCAAGGAACTGTGTGACCTGAAGAGTTAGGATCTCTTTCTTGATTCTGGCCTTGGAGGAGCCAAGGGATGGAGACGAGCAGCAACCTACAGCCAGAAATAAGGTGGAGACAGGCAAAGGGTTGAACGGGCAGGTGACCAGGTCTTGCAGCCAGATCGCCTCTCAGGGAAGTCGTAACTACCATGTGCTGAGTGGCTACTAGGTAGGGGCTTTATCTTATATGTAAATATATGACCTCCCTTCATCTTCTCAGCAATCTTCGGGGTAGGTACAGCTCTCCACACTTCCACAATGAGGAAAGAGCCTCTGTCCTAGAGGTTACGTTGCCTAAGATCACACAACTGATGAGCACTGTCTCCAGGATCTGGGTACTTTCCGTGATGCTGAGCCACCTCTGGTGGCTGGGGTGGGTAATCCTTCATTCACTCAGTATCTCTTGCATGACTGCTGGGTGCCAGGCCCTCTTCTAAGCTCTAGGGACATAGCAGTGAGACCAACACGGTTTCTGCCCTCACAGAACTTGCATCCTGGGAGCAGGAGACAGACGATAAACAATACACAAGTAGGAACAAGATCATTTCAAATGTTAAATTTATGATAATAATAAAGCAGGGTGATGTGATTAAGTTAACACAGACTATTTTAATAACAGCTGTCAAAGAAACCTCATAAGGGGTCACAAGTATGTGATGAACTGCGAGTGGGAGGGACCATCCGTGAGATGATCTCGTGGGGGGAGACATCCAGATGGAGGAACAACCAGGTAAGGACTGAGGTTGAAGCGTTGGTGCAGGTAGGAGACGAGGTCTGAGAAAAAGGCAGAAGGTAGCTGCTGCAGAGCCCAACGCAGGAAATTTGGATTTTACTTTAGGTGCAACGAAAAACTATTAGAAGGTTTTAAGAGTAGAATAACGCAATCAGTTTTATGTGCAGGAAAGATCATTCTAGCTGCTGTGTGGCCGACGGACTTAGAGAGGGAACAGGGAGATCCGTTGGGAGGCTGATGTAGCAGCCCAGGGAGAGATGAAGGTGGCTTTCATTAGGGGAGCAGTGATGGTGGAGAGAAGTGGAGGGATTCCGGGTCTATTTTGGAGAGAGCCGCACAGTCGCTTGGGTTGGGGAAATGGTGCATGTGTGAACTCTGGGGAGGGAGAAATGAATGAACTCCAGTGGATCACAAAACTTGGACTTTGTCAACTGGACCACATGACATGTCTGGAATTTTCTGTTATGGTTTTCTTTCTGCTGTCTGGCTATAGTTCATAAAGTTCTTTTCGTAAAGGCTGATTGGCCTCATGTGTGCTCGGGAGAGCCAAAGGGCGGCAGTTGTGGGGGGGCTGTGTCCGCGCTGGAACCAGTGTTCTGCCTCGGGCCAGCATGGGAGAAAGAGTGGAGACTCGGAGGGAAACTTCCCAGGGGGAATGAGACTCCAGTGATCAGAGTCAGGAGAGGGGCTGGCCACCCACCTCCAACTTCCCAGTGTCTTCCAGAAGCTCTTCTCTGCTCCCACTTTGAGTACTGTCCTAACGAGGGAGACTCTTACAGGCCTCCTGCATTTGTGCGGGGACAGACAGGCGCCAAGGGGCTGGCTCCAGGTAGGTACCCTGTCTACGCCCCCTCCCCTCCCCCCCGCCCCAGCACCAGCACCCGGACAGAAAGAGCCAAGGATCTCACACCAACCAGGCTGGGCCCCAGGCGGCTGAAGTAGAGCTAAGGGTGTTGCAAGCCTCCCAGATCACTCCCCCTCCATCCTCACCCCTCCACCCTCATACCTGGCCTGAGAATTCTGGACCACATGCGGGGTCTCATTTATTCCACCTAGTTGGCAGTACAAGGCTCTGTGGAGGCTGCTGGGGTGGGATCGGGGGGAGACAAAGGTGAACAAGAAGGTCTGGTCTGGGGCGCCTGGGTGGCTCAGTCGTTAAGCGTCTGCCTTCGGCTCAGGTCATGATCCCAGGGTCCTGGGATCGAGCCCCGTGTCGGGGTCCCTGCTCAGCAGGAAGCCTGCTTCTCCCTCTCCCACTCCCCCTGCTTGTGTTCCCTCTCTCACTGTCTCTCTCTCTCTCTGTCAAATAAATAAAATCTTAAAAAAAAAAAAAAAGAAGAAGAAGAAGATCTGGTCTCTGCCCCTCTGGGAGGTCAGCCTCTGGCAGGACACCAAACTGGGCCTGAGTGAGCGCCCAGGAAGATCTGCTCTCAGGGGCTCCATCTGGGAGGGGCAGTAATGGATAGGCACAGAAAACTGTCATCCTTGGCCAACAGTGATCAGGAGGAAGGGACAGAGAAACTTATGTGGCATCCCAGAAGAAGACACCCCTTGCAGGTGAGGCATCAAATAAGGCTATTGGGGGCAGGGGGTGGCATTTGGGTGAAGCCTTAAAGAACCGATATTGAGCCAGTGGCATTGGGAGAATACAGCCTAAGGCCAGGCGGCAAGAGAGGTGGCTGGAGGAAAGGGCACAAGGAAAGGAACGAACGGGAGGTCAGGACAGAGAGGCTCTTGTCCTGGGATGTAGGCGAGGCCAGCAGCAGCAAAGGTGGAAGGAAGGCCGGCTGAAAGGTGGAGGGCCCAGCTCCCCAGCCCGGTCCAGCCACTGCCCCGCGGTGTGCCTTATCTCTGGCAGGTGCACAGGAGCTCCCACGCATCGAGTACTCACTGGTGAAGCGGCGTGGCCCCACCCTCCCTCTGGGGTGCCCTACCTGTCACAGGTGGCCAAGGGGCCAGAGGAACTTACTTCCGAGCAGGTACAGCGCAGGCAGTACATCAGGCCCTGTGGTTCCAGGTAGGGATGCCAGCTTTCACCGGGGGCATATCTCTTCCCATGGAAAAGGCAGAACAGGTCTGGACCTGGCAGACCAACCAGCGCTTTGTCAGTCCCGGGAGGCTCCAGCCCAAAGACCCTGCTCCGTGCCTCCTTCTCTTGGCTCTAGGAAGGATGTCATCTGGACCAGATAGGCGAAAGAGAACCCACCAGATGTGCTCTCCCAGGCAGGGGCCCGGAATACCTGAGTCCGTCAGCTTGACTACACACTTGCTGTGTGACGTTGGGCATGTCACTGCCCCTTTCTGAACCTTAACACTTCTCTGATAGGACAGTTAGGAAGATCAAACAGTGAAAGTGCTTACAGATTTAAATTGTGGTATAAATGTTATTAGATGAACAATCGAGGCCCCGGAGGATAAATTACACCTTTAAGGTCACATAGGAAGTCCGTCACCCAGCAGGGATGGTAGCCCACGTCTCCTGACTCTCAGTTCAGTGCTCCTTCTACCCTCATAATCACACCAGCTTCCTCTCTTTTGGACCCATGTTGCTTATTTATTTCCTACATCTCTGCAAACACACACACACACACACACATCCTTCCCACTGCTGACCCTCTCTCTCTCTCTCTCCACACACACACACACACACACACACACACACACACACACACACACACACACACACACACACCTTCTCTCTGGGTCCTGTGACCCACCTTTTCAATAAAGCCACTCACAGCTCCGCCCCTGCTTTCACAGCCTACTGGGTCCTTATCTCAGGGAGCTGTGATGAAAAGGGTTTAAATTGGGAAAACAAGGGCTGCCTAGGGAAAGGTTCTTAGAAAGCTGACTTTTAAATATCCTTATAGTCATTGCTACTACTACGACTGCACGTCAGTTGGCTATTTTTGTGACCTGCCTATCAGTTGTCAATATGCAAGGGAATGCTTCAAGAAGGATTGAGTAAAGTTTGTTTCATTAGGTTAGATACCTCTCCTGCAAGCCTGCTTTCCTGAAACCACCTCTCTCTCACTTCTCACACCCCATCAGCTGCCCAGCCTGCCCTCCCCTCCTCCTCTTGCTGGACCACCACCTAGCCCTGGCTCAGGGCTCCAGGTCGGGCTTCCAGCCCCGCGCCCCATCCTCCCGCCTCTGACCCTATCCCTGCCACCCTTGCTCCTCACAGGTAGCGGGTGATTTTTACAAGCCAGAAGGGATGCTGTCATTCCTACAGGGAAACTCTACATTACCTAAAGAATAAGCTGAGCTCTTCTAGGGTGGAAATGAGGTGCCCAGCGCAAGCTAAGTGTCCACAAAGGTTTATGGAATTAAATGAGATTGAGCTATGGAAAAAGGACCCAACATTTACTATCTTCTCTTTACATAAATTACTTAATTACCCCATTGACATTACTGTTTTGAGCAGTAAATTGGATAATGCTTGTCAAATGCTTACTTACTTAGCCCAGTTTCTGACACTTGTTGAATGCTATTATTATGATAATTGTGGTAACAATGACCCTGCAAGATGGGTCATCTTGAATAGGTGATCCAGTCCCTCTAAGCTGGGTTATTGGGATCGTTACCATCATTAAGAGAAAAGCAGATGGAAACACCGAGGATCCAGCGCCTGAGTGACTTGCCTAGGCCATCCAGCTAGTGACTGGAAACCAGGACTCCACTCCCGGGCATAGCTCCTTGCAGTTCACCTCCCTTCTCCATGGCTTTGTGCCCAATCCCAGGGCCTAGGGGCTCCACTCTCTGCCTCGGCGGCCACCATAGCCTATTCCCTGTTTTCTTTCCTCGTCCCCTACTGGTCTAGAATCTAGAGGTCGCCTTTCACACTTCCCCCTGCCTGCTTTCTAGATCTTTCTCTTTGACATTTGAACTCATAGAATCACAGAGAATTGAAAGCAGCACACTAGCAGGACAGCAGGGCAGGAATTCCCTCTCAGTGTTGGGGGGTGGGCTGGGGTACCGTCCGGCACACGCCTCCAAAGGAGAGGAGCTCCAGGGCCAGTCCTAACCTTTAGAAAGTTTCCCCTGTAAGAAGCTGGAACTGGCCTGCCCCTGGCTCTTTGCACTGCTCCTGCTCAGCCTCTTGGGCCTCCCAGAACAAAGATTTGAGGCCACAGTCATGATGCCTCCAGAGTCTGTGCTTCCCGTGGCTGCTGGGGACCCTAGGAGCACATGGCTGAGCTCCCTCCCCTCCCCCTCTCCAGCTCCCCAAAGTAGAGGGGGGGGAATCAGACAGCAGATCCCTTTCCCAGCAAGGCCCCCGGCTGGCCCGTATCAAATGAGCTGTGTTTATCTCTCAGCCTCTGCTGGCAGAGAGGGCGGGACACAGCCCCAGCTGGGGTGCTTGTTAGAGCCAGCCCAACTCTCCAAGGACTGAATAATGTCTTTCTTCCTCAGTCCCCTCCCCCCACCAGGGAGGGGCCGATTGCGACACTACCGGGCGGCCTTAGGTCTCAGCCTTGTTGCTGAAGAAACCCTCTCCCACCTTACTTGGGGCGGCCCCGCAGCCTGGCTCCTGTGCCAGTTGGCACCCCTCCCCCTCGCTGCCTGCTCAGAGCATGGAGACAGAGAAAATGTCTCAGCCCATGCCCAGGCCGCCCCACCAACAGACCTGGCAGCCACTGAGAACATGGGGGGGCCTGGCAGGCTGGTCCCGCAACCCCAGGAGGCCTCCTGCGGCCACAGCCCCAGCCTACCAAGCCCTCCAAGGTGAGAGGCACAAGGAAGGGTGGCACTGCCTGGGGCTCCCCCTTACACCAGGGAGGTGAGTGCCCAAGGCCATGCCAACGCCAGGCAGAGGGAGGAAGGGCCAGGCTGCAGCCGCCTCGATCCCTGCAGTCCTGGCGTCAGCCCCCATTCTTGCTAATGGCTGGTGGACAGAGCTCTAGCTCCTTATGCCACGAATTCACTGTGTGACAATGAGGAAGACTCTTCCTTCTCTGAGCCTCAGTGTCTCCTCTGCAAAATAAGGGGGAAGGTGAACTTTGATTTCTAAAGGTTTCTGCACAGATACTGCTTATGAATCCATGATTTCACAATTCTAAGACTCCAAGACTCTAGGTTTCTAAGATTCAAGATTTGAGAATTCTGTGCTTCCGAGAGCCTACATTTCATGAGAACATGAAATCTTCTAGAACTGTACAATTTTGTGGCTCTAAGATCTGATCATTTCAAGCTTCCATGATTTAGGATGTACTGATGGTCTCATACACCCAGGTTCTCAGGGGTTCCGACATGGGCTAGGATAAGGTTCAGGGAGCCAGTGGGGCTGATCCTGGGTGGCATGAAGAAGGAGGCAAAGTCTGTCTCTCACATCCCCTCCTTTCCCATCTATTCCTTTTGGTCTTCTGTGGCCTTCCCATACCTGTCCTAGCCTTGGCCCTGGCCCGTTTCCCTCTCCACCCGCCACCATGCATCATTCCATCCTCCCTCTGCCCAACTCAGGGGGGCACTGGGCCTTCTCTCAGGGATCTTTAGGAGTTAATCGTGCCTAGCAGTGATACTTAATCCAGGAAAAAGACAGTAGTGGAGGAAGTTTTCATTTGAAAAGGATAATTGGCCCTCTTCCAGGCTTGAGAGAGAGAAAAATTAAAGTTGGACAGGTCTCATACCCCTCAAAACCCCTCACTCAGTGGTGGTGTGTACATAGTCCAAAGACCCTGGCTTTGGAATCAGATAGGTGGGGGCTCAAATTGGACTTGGCTTTTTGGGGGGGGAGGGGCAGAGGGAGAGGGAGACAGAGACTCTTAAGCAGGGCCCCTGCCCAGTGGGGAGCCCAACAAGGGGCTCTATCTCACAGCCCTGAGATCACAACCCTGAGATCATTACCCGAGTCGAAATCAAGAGTGAGACACTTAACCAACTGAGCCACCCAGGTGCCCCGGATTTGGCTTTTGTCGACAGCCTGAGTTTAGACAAGTTACTTAATCACTCTAGGCCTCAGTTTCCATAGCTGTTAAATGGGATTAGTAATAATCTCTACTTCTCAGGGTTATTGTAGAATTAAATCAGATAATATATGTGATATGCCTAGTGCCTGGCACATATCAGATGCTCAATTAAATAGTTGGCTATAAAACAAAAAGCAGATCTGGGTGCTGACCCCAAACTTCCCTAACAGTCTGTTTCTCGTGGTATTCCTTTTACTCCCATAATTCTATGGGCAGCCCCCAGGCACCCATTAGGGCATGAACATCATGGTACTTGCCACTGAGGTCAAACCTCCCTCATTTACAACCTTACCAACCCTGTTTCCTGTGGCTCCCCACACTCTCCTAGCCACACTCACAAGCCGGACTCCCCAACACCCCCTCTGCTTACACAGACCTCAAGGCTGGGATACAGAGATCAAACTGGTCAGGGTGGGCGAGAGGCTGGAGATCAGTCCAGAGAGCAAGGAAGAGGCTCATGAGGGGCCTTGAGAACCCAGAGGGCAAAAGAAAGCCATGGAAGTTTTGAACTTTTAAACTGGGGCGTGCCTGTGGTCAGGTTTGCATTTTACCACCATCACTGATCGGAGGGGTTGGAGGGCAAAACTGGAGGCAGAGAGGCCAGGGGAGGCTGTTGTATTGGCTGGTTTTGAGAGCTTGCTAGCCCGGACCAAGATAGAAGCAGTGCCCATGGGCTCAAGTGCAGATTTGGGGAATCCTTGGGAAATACGGTGGGTGGGCTGTGGGCTGTAGGGCAGGCTGGATATGGGTGGGGAGGGAAAAGGAGCAGTCCAGGGCGGGATTGCAGCTTTAGGCCTAAACCACAGGTGGATGTGGGGCACCCTACCCGCCAAGCAGGGACTGTTATTATCATTAGTTATGATTTCTTAGTATCATTAGGAATAGCGATATTACTTTCTGCTATTCACTCAGCTATTGAGCTTTTGTGTATCAGGTCTTACACACATTGGTGGGCCTGGGCTGTGACTAGGCAAGACACAGTCCCCATCCTCGAGGAGCTCCCAGCCTAATGCAGAAGATGGATAGATAAAATACAGTTGACCTTGAACAACATGAGTCTGAACTGTGCAGGTCTACTTATTAGTGGATTTTTTTACAGTACAGTACTCTACG